CCGACTCGATGGCACCTGACGACAACAACAACAACGTTTCTTATATTTGTAATGCTTGTTTTTCTTTATTCTTCAAACTTCATTATCAAATCCAAAAGGAACTGAATGTTGTAAAAAGTTTTACAAGAAGTGAAACACACAAAGTTCAATATAAATTTTTATTCATCATATAAAATGTTTCTTAAAAACACAATTAAACATTTTATATTAGAGAAAAAGTATATATAATGATCAATTTCAATTTGTAAATCCTTCTATGGCACAAAAGAGATTTCCCAGATTCAGCCTTGTACCTGTTGTTTGCCTTTGGAGAATCACAACAGCAGACTTCAGAAAGAATATGCGTAAAGCTTGTTCAAATGATTGTCACAGATGTACTGCTTACGAATACAAAGAACACACAAATCATTCACTCACTCAGTTCATTTCATTAATGCAATTCCTTATGTAGAATGAAATATGTGATGACTACTTCATGAAACATTATCATGAACTAGCACTTTTCCCCACCAGTACAATTAGGACACGAATGAACCCCAAACCAAGTGATGTTCAGTGGGTTCCACTCACAGTGACCTGACAGAGCAGAACTAGGATCTCGGTGGCAGCCACTGAGTGTATGATTACCACAGCTTCCTCCCCTGAGTTGGCTGGTGGGTTTGAACTGTCAACTCTTCAGTTAGCAGGAAGCACTTGTAAGGCTGTCAAGTTGCCTCTGCACCAGTAAGGCTGTCAAGTTGCCTCTGCACCAGTAAGGCCGTCAAGTTGCCTCTGGCTCACAGTGGCACCCACAGGACTTCCAAGGCTGGAAATCTTCACAGAAGCAGACCATCACATCTTCTGATGGATTTGACCCCTGACCTTTGGTTAGCAGCAGACTGATTTGACCCCTGACCTTTGGTTAGCAGCAGACTGCTTTAGCCACTTGGACACCAGGGATCTTTAGTACCTGGGAAAACTTCCAGCTTAATTACATAAGCTTAGTTACGTCTCAGGTTCTGGCATCCTCAATGAAGAAACAGCCTGTTTTCTAGAGGCAACGGTAAATTAGTCACACTGATACAAAACATGGCCAATCCAAAGGCTGTCAGCATTGCTTTAGGGATTTCGAGACAGATGAAGAGAATTACAATCATGAATAAAAGAAAAAGAGTTATTCATGGTATCTTTTCTGGAGAGTAAGACATTCTTAAAGGTTTCTTGTTATTCTGTAGAAAAAGAACTAGAAGTTTTTCCAATCGATTTAAGGATGAACATTGTATTCCTATTTTTCAGCTTTCAGTCTTATCAAGTGAAGTTTCAAAAATATCTAAACGACTGATTGAAAACATTTTCAAATTACATACCTTCAGACAAACTAAATGTAAAATTATTTCTTTAAATGTAAAATGAATTCTATTCCTTCATTCTTGGTAACACCTGGCAGTTCATTCCTTGCATCCCAAAGTCCTTTCTTTATTCACATACACATTTTACATCAAAAAAACGTGAATGTGAGTCAAGAGAACACAAGTCTTCTGGCTGTTGGAGGAATGGGGCTTCTTCACGTTTCAAACCTCATCAGGCTCATGTGTACCAGAAATGGTGAAAACCACACACATTCTAACACAATCCCCTATTACCACCTAGCCCGAAACTCTCACACCTTGTAAGACACAGACTAGCAAAATAAAGTTTCCCTTTTCTTCATTTAATGTAAACTATTCCTGTATATTCGTTAGGCTCACTTTATGTGAGATCATCAAGATTTTAAAAGACGGCTAGACCTTCATATTGTATGAAAATTAGACACAAGCCAATTTTATGTCTAACTAGTAAAAATCGACACAAAGTAGGTAGAATACTACCAAGACAAAGGTAAACTAACTAGTAAACTGGCCTAAAATTCTTAGGCTTTTTACTTACAATTCCTTCTTCAAAGTTGTCACTTGACAACAGTTTTCGTCAATTAACAGCCAGCAAAAGAAAACAAAATGTCATGCTGTGTTAATTATAATATTCCAAGATACAATATAAACCTACAAATAACATCAGTGCTGCAGATACTTAGAAAGCTATCATTATGAAAACTCATTATGGACAGCGGAGTGTGCCCCTGTCTATGGCCAACACCCCACGGCAGGCAGATGATGGGCTCACAGCCCGCCTCCTATCATGTCCTTCTAGGTTACCCCCACCCGGTCCCCGGGCTCCCTTCAGCACCTGAGTCAGCGGGTCTGAGCTGACTGCCCTCACCGGCCTCCTGCAAATGAGCCACAGGGGCACAGGCCCAGATCATCAACACCTCTCCAGCACCCTACCGACTCTCACGCTCATGACTCAGGGCGTCCCCTGCCCCCCGGCCATCCAAACCCCAGCTGTTCTCCCTGCCCTGACACATCTATCCCATGGACCCCAGACACCGATTCCCCATAGCCACTGGCCCCGGAAGACTGTTGACACTAAAGCATTGTTGGATTGCAAAACAAAATAAAAATAAAAAAAAAATAAAGATCTTGAGGACAGGTACATTTCAAAACAATACCTTATACATTTTGGAAACAAGTTTGATTATAGATTTCATACAGTCTCCATATATTTTTTTTTTCTTGTAATGTTGTTTCTTACGTTCAACTCCACAGTGAAATGAGGAATTGAATCCTTACACTGACATAAAATTCTGTTTGTTCATTAATCTCCTGTATATCCCGTCCGGTTTTGAGAGGAGTTCTTCATGTTTCCCACATTCAGTAACTTGTCCTCGGTGAAGCACAGCAACCATATTAGCATTCTTAATAGTGGACAGGCGATGGGCGATAATTAACACTGTTCTTCCTTTCATCAGCCGGTCCAGGGCTTCTTGCACAAGGTGTTCATTTTCAGCATCCAGTGCACTTGAACAAAACGAACATGAGAAAGCCAAGGCTTCAGTGCCGTGCATACTTTCTACACACACACTTCCTGTGACGTATACAAATGGGCCTTCACTAACAGTGAATTTGTACTGTGATCAAACTTCCACCAATTTCTTGGACTAAAAGATAGTTACAGAAAGCAGCCCCTTAGGGACTCTTGGATCTTCGTGTGCAGAAAAGCAGTCTGCACAGTTTCTGACTAGAGCGTGACTAAGAAGGGTTCAGCAGCAGTAGTGGCATGTCTGAACTAGAACCACAACCCTCCAATCTTGATTCCATTTGTCTACTGCCTTTCAAAAGTCATGATTAATTCAGATTCAATAACTTTTCAAATGTCAGTGGGGGTGGAAGGTGACAGAGGGGAGAATTTTCAACGGTATAACCTTGAATCACAGAATAAAAAGTTTTTGGCAAAGGAAAAATTTGTTTTAAAACAATTATATATATTAAGATAGCCTCACCTGGTTGCTTCATCTAGGAGAAGAATTTTAGGATTCTGACAAAGGAAAAAAAAATGATTACAAAAAAAAAAAAAAAAGGTAATTTTACTAGAAAACCACAAACTTTTTGGCCATCAGAAGATACTGATATGATGCTACAACATGGTGGTGGGCTGTTCTGGATGCTGTCAAATCGATTACAACTCATAGTGAGTCCATGTTTAAGAGTAGAACTGCCCAACCTCTCTCCTCAAGGGAAAAAAAAAAAAAAAAAGGAAAGTAACAAAACTAGTAAATAAAAAATTTACATGTAAAACAGTACCAAAAACAGAGCAAAAGACCCAGCCTAGTACCTTCCAGCTTACCTTCAGCAAAGCACGTGCAATTGCAATCCGCTGCTTCTGCCCACCTGACAAAGACAGGTTTTTATTAAATTGAAAGTGTTAACAAAAATGCGAACAAAAATTCTCAGTACAAACGTCTCTGCGGCAATTTTGAAGGTAACTTCTAGTCAGCCAAAGCACAGACAGATGGTAAAGTAGGAAGTTATTTTTGAAAATGTATAACTTCCCCAACAATCTCAAAATGCATTATTACATCTAACCTTTAAAACAAATTCTGTGAGACAGACTCTGTTATCATTCTGTTTACAGGTGCAAAAGTGAGACACAAAGTAACTTGTCTCACGTGGTTGGTAAATACCAGAACCAAGGTTTGAACTTAGGCAATGTGAAGGGCTATGTAAGCTTTTATCCACCACCCATATTTGCCTCTTCTGGTGTGGCACTGTGGGTTAATGCGCCAGACTGCAAAGACGTTTGAATTGCAAGATCCGCGGTTCAAGCTCACCAGCTGCTCACTCCTTGGAAACCCTCTACAGGGTCGCTATGGGTCGGAATCGACTCGACGGCACTTAACAACAACAACAATAGTACATTTAAGGAAATGAGAAACCCCAAATCTTTACAGCTTTCAAACACTACTTGAGATGGATGGGAACAAAGGGCTTTAATGACGCCGGCAGTTATGATTCTGCCCTTTTACTTCATAGCAACTGCTCTGTGCCTTCCATTCTCATGTTATTCTCTTAATTTTCCCTGTCCAGGGAGCACTCAGCAGAGGGGACACATGCATATAGGAGATAGAAGATTTCAAATAAAACATTCTAACTGCCTCTCCTCCATGGCCCTTTTAAACTGAAATTCTACTAACAGCAACACAATCAACTAGGAGTGGGGTTGGGAAAAGGCAGACAAGAGAAAGGTAAGCAGAAAGGTGACAGTTTCCCCTTCCTCATCTTTTCCCGAACAGCATCACACTACTCCTAAATGACAACTTGTAAAGTCTTGGAGGAGTCCTGGTGCGGTGCTGTGGGTTAACCCGCTGGACTACAAAGTTGGTTTGAACCGCAAGATCGGTGGTTCAACCTCACCAGCCGCTCCATGGAAACCCTAAAGAGGGTCGCTATGGGTAGGAACCGATTCGATGACATTTCACAACAACAACAAAAGTCTCAGGATTCAATCCTCCCAACTTAAGTCATTTTAAAATCCATCCTAAATTTGAATACACAAACACCCTTTTTAATTCATCTTATTAGCTGAACGTGCTTACTAATTGTAATTTCAGGATACTGTATTATTTGGGCTATGAGGAAAGTCATCATCTACAGCTGAAATATCTGTTAAACAGACAGGTCAGCGCATACCATGAGAATAAACACAGGAAGAGCCTTGTTTTCTGAACTGCTCTTGCTATGACGGTGTCTGAGTGAATAGAACAGCCCCTCTCACTCAGCTGCCAAGAGTGCACTGAGAATCTATTGCCGCATTTCCTGCTTTCCTCCCAGAACGTAAAGGAGGAGTGACCTCTGGTTACTTCACCGTGAAATGGAGCCTTGGAATCCTGCTAGCTGGGAGGGCATGAAACAGTCTGTTGTTCCAAAGGAGAAGGTGAAGAGTTAGGAGATCAAGCCACAAATCGCCACACAGTCCTGCACCTTTATGCTCAGTGATTTCACCATGAGCAGGTGAAATCATCTCGAGCTGGCATCCTACCCAAGGATGTGTTTCAGAGATTCAGAAGTGTAAAAAAATGAACATTTTTACTCCTCAATCTGAGATTCTTCTGAAGTTCCCTATTGTTGTTGTTAAGTGCCGTCGAGTCAGTTCCGACTCATAGTGACCCATATAGGGTCTTCAAGGACCGGCTGGTAAGTTTGAACCACTGACCTTGTGGTTCAAATCGATCTTGCAGCCCCAGTGCTTAATCCCACAGCACCACACCTTGACTCTGGAGCTCCCCAAAAATCTATTAAAAATATCATTTATACCTCCCTTCCTATGGTAAAATAAATCATAGTCACATGTTGTTGTTATGTGCTGCCAAGTCTATTCCGACCCATAGCGATCATGTATAGGGTTTCCAAGGAACAACTAGTGAGCTTGAACTGCCGACCTTGCAGTTCAAATGACTGTGCAGTCTGACGTATTAGCCCACAGCGCCACACCAGTTTTAGTAAAACTTAAAACATCTGTAGTTTGAATTTCCTGTGGTTTAACATCAAGCAGAAAGTTGTGAGTTGGAAAGGATTATTGCTCAAGGACATCTAGTTCATCCTGCGAACTGTCGCTCTGACATAGCGAGATCGTCTGCTCAGTGACATTCAGTGACAGAGAGCCTTACAAGGAAACACAGCTTAATATCTGTAATTAAAGAACTATTTGGGTTTAGCCCAACTGGTATTTCCCTTTAAGTTCTACTCAGTGATTCTACTTGTGCTGTCTAAAGCAATATAAAACGCTTAAAGACATGGTACTCCAAATGAGATGCAATGGCTAGGCATTGCAAAGGAAGGAACTGGAGACTGGGCTTCATGGTATTGGAGTTCGGCCACTAGTCCAGTACAGGACAGCTAGGGCTCACAGTCTGCGGACCAAATCTAGACCCTAGCTTCCTGCTGTACAGCCCTTTCAACTTAAGAATGGTTTTTACACTTAAGAAACAAACATACAAATAATACATGATAGAGACCAGGTGGGTCTATTTACTGCTCACTGAACCTTTATCGGAAGTCTGCCGACCCTGGTCTAGTTTGTAAAATGCAAACTGGAGAGTAAAGATTCATTCACTGTCGGTCAAGTTCTTGCTTCATAGTCTCTGCCTCTCTGGGCAGATCACCCTGCTGCCCTGTATCTATGGAATTGTTGACAACTTCTGAGGAACCACATCTTTTCTCAAATGAAATAAAAGCTCGCTGTGGCTCAGTCCTCCTCAGTGGGAATCTGAGGGGACACGGAGGGGGCTAAAAGTGACATTAGAATGTAGTGAGGCTAACACCATAAACTCTGGGAACTAAACCTGTATAAAGCAGATTCCAGAGTTCTTTGGAATAGCTTTTGCTACAAAGTAGTAACACAGCCGTACCTGACAGAAGAACACCTTTTTCTCCAACCACAGTGTTGAAACCTTCGGGGAAATTCCTGATGAAGGTGGCCGCGTTAGCCACATCGGCGGCTTTCTCTATTTGCTCAGCAGTCACCAGGGAAGGGTCGTCTGCTCCATAAGCAATATTCTCAGCAATAGTACAAGAAAACAAGATTGGTTCCTACCCATTGGAAAGAAAACAGTGCCATCAATTTCAAAACAGTCTTCAAACATCTATAGTAAATAGAGCAGAGCTTAGTACATTACTAACAGTTTCATTAACATCTTCGTTGTTGTTGTTATGTGCTGCGGAGTCAGTTCCTGCTCATAGCGACCGTGCATAGGCTTTCCAAGACTGTAAACTTTTACGGGAGCAGAAAGCCTCATCTTTCTCCCGCAGAACCACTGATAGTTTTGAACTGCTGGCATTGAGGTTAGCAGCCCAACTCGTAACCACTACACTAACGGAACTTTGTTGTTGTTGTTTAGTGCCGTCAAGTCGCTTCTGACCCATCACAACCCTGTATAGCGTTTCTGAGGAGCACCTGGTGATCTTGAACAGACGAACTTGCAGTTCAAATAGCTTTGCAATCTGGTGCATTAACCCATAGCGCCACACAAGGACTCCAGAAAGAACTTTAGAAGCTATTAAATCGTTCCCAAAGAGCAGACTGTTTGCTTGACTTTGCTTCTGATTTTTCCATATAGTCACTCAGAACACTTCTGAGAATTCAGATTGTCCCAGGAACTGAATTGATTTGATCATATCTGGATCCCACCACATGCAGAGTGTGAGCTACCCCAAGTGTCCACGCAGTGCCTGGCCCACAGGCACAGCCTGCGTGTGAGTGTTCCCTTCCTTTAGCAATCAGGAGGCAGTGGAAGAGCCTCAGTTCATTTGCATTTCCAAAGTGTCTCCTTCATTAAGGATGGGGGGGGGGGCGGTAGAGGGGGAGGAGAGTCCTGGTGTGGCCTTGTGGGTCAATGCACTGGACTGCAAAGTCACTTGGAACCACAACGTCAGAGGTTCAAGCTCGCCAGCCACTCCTCTGAAACCCTATACTGGGGCGCTATGGGTCAGAGATGACTCAACAGCACTTAACAACAAAACAAGAGAGAAAGCAGGGAGGCAATCTAGTTCTGTCATTGCTTTTTGAGATATATAACCCAGACGGGAACATGACACTTGGACAGAACACTTCTTTACATATGTTGTTGTTATTGTTAAGCGTCATCAAGTTAGTTCCAATTCATAGGCACCCTGCGTAGGGTTTCCGAGGAGCGGTTGTTGAGTTTGAACCACTGACCTTGCAGTTCAAACCGACCTTGTGGTCCAATGTTTCTCCAACAGCGCCACACCAGGACTCCTATTTACACACAGTCTTAACAATGAGGAGACCTGCTTGGTCTGGGGCAAGATGGCAAAGTGAGTGGACACATTGACTCAGCTCTGTGTAATAAAGACCTGGGGCCCAAGAGACCCATACACATGGTGGTCCTGGAACCCTAAGCATCAGAAGACAGAACAGAGAGGTGAACTGAGTGCTGACTGGTACAGGAAGTGAATAGGAGCAGAAAGGGAGAAGAAAACCAGGCAGGCTGTGGGACACTGGGGAGCAGTGTGGCTGTCAATACAGCAGCCTGTGGGTACAGGACACAGCAAGTGGGGTGTACTTCTCCCTGGTTCTCATGCCTTCCTGGTAGGTGGGGCACAGCATGTCCCTGTCCTTGCCAACCCAGCCGCACGCCCTCCTGCACAGCCTCTGCTCTGCCTGTGGTTAGGAACCGGGTACTGGGCATAGCACCTCTGCTTCTGGAGGCATGTGGACCTTCCCTGAACTATGTGACACAAACAGCGAACAGAGAATCACCTGCATTCACACTTGCAGTCTCTACCACATCCACCAGGAAACAGGTGGTAAATGCCTGAGAATACACCAATATACAATCGTCAACTAAATATAAAGACGCCAACACAGTGTCTCGGAGAAAACAGGCAACTTCAGCTTACACAAAGAAACAAGACAGAGTGTCTCAAACAAGTCACCAAAGCACACACAGAAAGTATAACACCAGAATGGTATTGGAATGACCTGATAAGGAATTTAAAAGAAAGCGAATTAGGCAACTTCAACAATTGAGAGAAAGATTGAGAAAATTACAGATGAAATCAAGAAAAACATAGAAAAACCTATGGGAAAAAATCAGGGAAGAAACTGACAAAATAATTGAAAAAATGGAACCCATACAAAATCAGCAACTGGGAAGCCAGAGATTAGCACTGAGCCTTCAGAAATAGATAATAGATTGAAAGGGCAAAGAAATAGAATAGAATCAATGCAAAACCAAATTACTGAACTTGAAGAAAAACCTCTCAAAATTCATCTACTAGAGGAACAATGAGAAAAAAGGACAAAAAAATCTGAAGAAAACCTAAGATTTCTGTGGAACACTATAAACAGGAATAACTTACATGTGGTTAGAAGAGTCAAAAAACCCATAGAAAATATTGTCCAAGAGTGGTTGGAAGAAAACTTCCCTAACATCATGAAAGACGAGATGATAGCCGTTCAAGAAGTTGAGCAAACTCCAAACAGGTTCAACCCCAAAAGAAAACAACAAGCCAAATCATAATCAAACTTTTCAAAACTAAAGACAGGGAAAGAATCCTGAGAACAGATAGAGAAAAATGAAAAGTTACCTAAAAAGGAGAACTAGTAAGACTAAGCTCTGATTTCTCAGAAGAAACCACGCAGGCAAGAAGACAATGGAATGGTAAAGCTAAAATTCTGAAAGAAAAAAAAATTGCCAAGCAAGAATCATGTAGCCAACACATATCATCAAATATGATGGCAAAATTACGTCATTTTTAGACAAGCAGAAATTAAAAGAATCTGTAAGGTTCATCAACCTTACAAAAAATATTAACAGGAGTTATTTGCACAGAGAAATAGCAACAACAAACAACAACCTGAGACTAACAGACATGGTAATATCACCCAGACTCAACCCAGTTATCGAATAACAGACCTCGAAAACTGAAAACCAGGGATACAGTCGCAACAAGCCATAAAGTGAAAAGAATGAATAATGAAGACGTAATCAAACAGATTTCAATAAACAAAAATAAATCTAATTGTAACTCTAAAAACTAGACTAAGCCTTACTTCAAGTTCTAGCTCACCCCTCACCCCTAACACTAACCCTAGTCCAAATCCTGAGCCTAACACTAAACAAAGTTCTAATCCTAGCGCAGACCGAGTCATGTCCTCACCCTCACTCTCCTTGCTTCTACCCTTCTCCCACCAAAAAAAGTACACAGACTCCAGCTTCTTGTCTCCATTCCTAGACAACATACACCACTGACATCCTTATACTGCTGAATATGCCCCTTCACGCGCCTGCCCACCCCCACCCCCCCCACCTTACATCCAGTGGAATTCGGGTGATGATGAGCTAAGAGGATACTTACTATAGGGATGAGTCTCAGAAATGGGGGGTGGGGAAAGCCTCAGGTATGTCCATAGTGTACTGAACTTGGAAAGAGAAATACAAACAGCTACGTCAAAACTCTCCTAGATCAAATGGCCTTGGGAAAGCAACGTCACAAGATGATCGCATTAATATTCTGCTTTCAAATATGCAACCTCTTTGGCTTGCTGCTCACAGCGCTTGGACTGCTAGCCACGTGTGGCGCTGAGGCCCCAGAGCCACACTCATGGCACCTCTGAGTGGCTGAGTGGGAAGAGCATTTCAAAAATCATTTTACGGTTTTCAAGAGGGAGTTTAGATTCAGAGTGTGTTGGGGAAGGTAGAGTCCCCACTGAATAGCTTTCATCTTGTTTAGATGGGTCTGGTGAAAAGAGATGGGGATAGGGCTTATTTGATTCAACAGTAATTGTTATCATGACTAATTGTGATGGTCACAACTGTAAAGTTAGAAGTTTTGTAACAAAAACA